AGGTCGTGGTTGGCCGCCCCGCGGGGAAATTCCCTCAGCTTCCGGCCGCTCAGGCTCAGCACCCCGGTGACCGCCGCCTCCTCCAGTGCTCGGTCGAGGGAGCGGCTCCACGAGGCCGGGCCAGGACCAGGACCCGCGCCGGTGCTTGGGCCGCAGCTAGCCCCTGAGAGGCTCCCTCCCGACGCCCCTGGGCCGGCGTATTCCGCGGCTGCCGCCACCGCTATCAAGCCCGCGGCCGCCATTTCCAGCCAACAACTCGCTGGCCTCGGCGCGGCGCATGCGCGGCCAGGATCGCAGGGTGGGCGGGGAAAGGGGCTCCGGCGGGGGTGAGAGGGGGCTGCCGGCCACGCCCATGGGAGGGCTTCCAGGGAAACCCGGACCAACTCAACAAAACCGTCCTGCCTTCCTCCCTCAGCACTGGGCGACTAAGCATTGAAGATTCTTAGCACTGCTGCAGCCAGAAACGTGGGCAGTAAGGGGGACTGTCTGGGATGCAACCTCTAACGGTTTTCAACTTGTCATTGTATCACCAGAGGCTATAAATCGAAATCTGTGCCGGTGTGGTGGTACACGCCTGAAATCCCTGCACTCAGGAGGACAACTCAGAGTTCTAGGCCAGTCTGAAATACACAGCAAGACCCTGTCTCAGAAAACTAAGGCCTCGTAGTAGTGTGCTTGCCTGGTGTACAGATAGGCCCTGGGTTCAGATTTCCATCCTGCAAAAAATAAATTTGTACATTTAGTATTTGTGCTTAGGATGGAAAAATATTGTGATAATTGGGCTCCAAACTCTAACAATGATTGAAAAGGTTACATAAGTATTTTAGACTATTCCTTCCTTTTATAAAAGAGCTCTTAATGAAAACAGACAGCTACACAGTAACTGTCCTTTAGGCATGATTTTACTGCTGAGTAAAGAAGTACAAACAGCATTGAAGTAAAAAAAAATTAGGTCTGAAGCCAAAATTAAGGAAAATACTTTCACTATAATCTAGAAGTAGGGATTAAAGGTATAACTGATTGGCCAAAATTGAAATCATTCAAGTAATGAAAAAGTAGAAAATACCACATTTAAAAACAACTAGACCACTAATATTGCGTATTTTTCAGGCTTTTTAGAGTTAGGTTATTCCTGCAACATGGTGTAAATTTCACCTACAATCAACTCATACTTACTATGGGAAATATAAGAGACTGTCAAATGCAGTCCTTTTCCTAAAGGATTATAATCTAATTTTATTGTGGAATCCAAATAGGTCAATTAAAGACAACAACCACAAAAAGGGCGGGGGAGGTGGGGCTGAGTAGGGGCTTAGACAAAAGGGATCCACATCATAGATAAATGAGGTTTTGAATCAAACCTGAAGAAATAGGAGGTGGGATAGCTGGAAGGTGAGAACATTCTAGGTTGGAAGATCAGCACATCCATTAGGTATGATGTATAAAGATACATATGAAGGACATTAAGGCACAGATAATAAAGTTCATGCCAGAAAGTAAAAGAAATTATAAAGCTGGAAAGAGACTCCCCATTATTTTTAAAAGGCCCAACTCTTCAATTCTCTAAATTCCTAAATTCAAGAGGCTATAGGAATGTGTAATTTCAGTGATAATGTTGACTTGTAGCTGTTACTGAGAACTGTTTTATGAACCTTTTGTTTTTTGAGACAGTGTCTCAGTATGTAGCCCAGACTGGCCTCAAACTCCCAATCCTCCTGTTTCAGCCTCCCAGGTACCGAAATTACAGGCACATGCCACCACACATGGCTCTCTCAATTTTTACCACTACATTCGTTTATTCAGCAACAAGTTCCACAATAAATTATATGTTGTGAGCATGGGCCACTTCAATGGCAGGTAATGTGTCATCTCTTATCAAGTAATTCCTATCCAATTTATGTATAGGTTTATCATTCTGATCTTCATGAAATGTTATTCTTATAAAGGTATTAAGCTATTTAAGAGCATGACCTTCAACTACAATGACTGAGTCTATTCATATATTCCATATTAACTAAAATGGTATAGAACTAGTTCCACCATGCCATTTACCTTGTCTATTACCTCCACATTGACACTAAACTAAGTTCTCAGTAATATGGCCTCATTCTCCATCCATTTGCATATTCCATTTCAATCTCAACATACACTAATCCTGAACTGACCAAGTTTATAGATTGATGTTAGCCCATATGACTAGATTTTAAGGACCTTAATATACTAAACTCTGTGCTATAAATATCTCCCATATTCCAGGGCTAAGCATAATATTAAAAGTACTAAGGATGAGTGAAAACATCAGAGATAGCAGATGGGTTATGTATTAAAACAGGAGAGAATATTGAGAAAAAACTATAATCTTTAAATAGGGTACCTAACTTTGTAGATATCTGAAGGCCATAAGAAAAGTCTGTGCATGTGGGGAAAAGTGAAGATGCAATGTGTATTATTACATAAGAAGAAATAAGGATATGAAGAAAGCTAGCTCAAGGAATAATTATGAGATGTTTAAGAACTTGAGCTTTCAAATACAAAGTATGTGTAATATGCAGAATTCTCAGCCTATTCCCTCAATCTTTTCTTCCCCACCCCTTTGTTTTTTTGAGACAGGCTCTCACTTCATAATCCAGGCTAGCCTAGAATTTTCTAGCCTTGAGTACTGCGATCACAGGCATCTGCCACCAAGACCAACCCCTTAAATCTTCAAGTAGGTGATGTCATCTTATGAGAATGAGATATCAAAAATGGAGTCTTTGTGAATTCACCAGAGTCTAGTGATGAATAAGTAATGAGAGACAGTTGTAAAAGACTGAGCAAAAGGGCTATATGGATATGGATCTATAACTTATTATACTACTACACTGTGGAAGGGGAGAAGCTAAAAAAAATAATAAAAAGTTGGCAGTGGGAGCTGTTCAGTCTTAGGAACTGATAGAGTGAACTTCTCTGCGTCTCCCTGTTTATATTATAAGCTCAAAGTTAACGCATTCATTACCAGGGGCAAAAGGTTTACTCAAATCTCAGTAGCTCTTTCTGGCTCTACGTATCTCACTACATCATATAGAAATAAAATTCTTTCACTACCTTTACTCACTAGAAACATTATTATCACTCCTTTTATTAAAATCTTAGTAAATCCATTCTCTTTCAATTTAAGAAACTGACTTGTTAAATATATTCAATAAATGTTTAGTTCTTCTCTTCATTATCCTCTTAATAAGAAGCATTAATAATTGATTTTTTAAAACTTTATACAAGAAAATTCAATGTGATTTTCTTCTCATTACAGGAAAATGGAAATGGAAAAAGTAGTAATTTAATAATACATACTAGGGAAATAGCTTCCTATTTTTCTTAAATGTTAGTATACCTCATCTGAATATATCAGAGTAAATTCCAGCCCCAGAATGGCACATTTGCATGTTTTATCAAGATTCTCTTGAGTAACTAAATTATCGGGAAGCAGAGAAAAAAGACATTAGAAGTTTACAACTTTTAAGCAAATCTTTTTTTTTTTTTTTGGTGGTACTAGGGTTCGAACTCAGGGCTTCACACTTGACAGGCAGGTACTCTACCGCTTGAACCAGGCCTCCAGTCTTCTAAGCAAATTTTTTTAATCTTTTAAGGGTTCACAGTAGTCTAAAATTCTTGTCACAAATGCTGGGGGTTTACTGAAATGTCACTTTAAAAAAAAGACTAACTCCAACTTGGTGTATCCAAAAAGAACATTCTTTCAAGGGAAGCTTAAATCATATGCTAAATTTTTATAGGAGTAAAACAGTCATATTAATTATGATGGAAGTTCAAAGGTCTATTGATTAGAAATGAAGAAATCATTTTCTGCCTTAATACTGCCTGGATTTGGAATATATGGAATTCTTTGTTGTGCCAAGTGTGCCTTTGCACTCATCTCTTTCTAGTAAAAATAAACTAGAACAAAAATTGGCTGAGACTGCATATACTGTTTGAATTGCAAAGCTATTGGAAGCAACATATGGTATACGTATCTATTCTAACAAAAACTAACAAATGGGCAACAAGTCCTGTAAGCTTTTTTTTTTCAGTAATGGGGCTTGAATACGGTCTCACATTTGCTAGGCAAGTGTTCTACTACTTGAGCTACACCTCAGCCCTTTTGGTTTTATGGTTTTTGAGATAGGGTCTCACTAGCATTTTCTGGGGCTGGCCTTGAACTAACAATCCTCCCTCCTGTCTCCATATCCCAAAGTAGCTGGGATTACAGATGTGCCCTACCATGCCAGGTCAAAGCTTGTTTCTTATACAGAAGTACTTTATAATTTGTTTATAACTGTAAAAAGTTTATGCATATTTGAAAATATACCTGATTACAATACTGGCCTAACATGAACACCAAAGTAGCACATGTTAATTATCATTGCTACAAATGCATATTGTGGCTATTATTAATTCTTAGATATCTGACCAAGCCATGTACCATCCCATTACTTTCTAAGGATATCCATTTTACAGAAGTTTATAATCTTTTTTTTTTTTTTTTTGCAGTACTGGTACTTGAACTGAAGACCTCACACTTGCTAAGCAGGTGCTCTACGACTTGAGCCGCTCTGCCAGCAAGAAACAGTTTACTATCATCAAGAACTGTAAGATCTGAGGCTCAAAATGAGACTGCCAAAACGAAGTCTTAGAAAATGCTGGGTCTCACTTTACTAACCTAGACAGTCTCTAAAGGCTCAGCTAGCTTGCACTGTAAATAATTCGATTCTCTTTTTTAATGCCCTTTGGCTAACTCCTGGTTGAAGCTATGAATAAAATGGTCAAAAGGCAGTTAGAAGGATGCCAATAAAAGAGTACAGATTGATTTAACAATTTAGCTGGTAAGTAACTTTTCAAATCCGAAAAAAAAAAATCAACAAAGTTCTTTGTAACATAGAACAATACAACTCAAATTCTCTAAGAAAAAATCATGTGAAACCTGTTACATTTTATTTGTTAAAAATGAACAGCTTCATAATAGATCTAAATGTAACTTTTCCAAAAAACACCAAAAAGTACAGTGTAAAGCACCTCCTCATTAAATACAAACTTTCATTTTGTGATGCACTGCATCAATGTTTTGCATACACCTTGATGCAAAGGAAATTTCAAGTTGCATCCTGTTGAAAAAAACAAACAAACAAACAAACTTTAAGAATTGAACAAGGATGACTACAACCACATTCCAAGAAAGGAAATTTTCCTCCAACAAAGCATATTGTTTTGTTTATATATATGTTGGTACTCAAGACTTATTTTAATTTAGCTGTACCAAAGGCAAAATTTACTTTGAAAGAAAATTAAGTTACAAATGCATGAAGAATAAACGTTTAATATACCAAAAACACTTTGTTATTTGATGCACTTAATGTCAACATTTGGGGCAATTTTAAGGTTTACCAAAAAAATTTGGCATGAATAATACCTCTCTATAATAATATTTAAAATAATAGGAAAATGAAAACACCTTTATATCATATTTTCACAAACTGTTCTAAAGGCAGCAAAGTCACACTCAGTTGTTTTTCCTTTGATTTAAAATAAGCTCCAGTAACTCTAAACCAGTCTAAAATGTATTATTCCTGGATCAAATATACTGATACTCGAAAAATGAGTCCTTGGCTTCTATGAAAAGCATCAAATAGTGAAGGAGAGACTAGAGTCTTTTCAAATTCTGACTGGCTTCCAGTAATCCATTATCAAGATCAAGCAGAAGTACCAGCAAAATATCAGGTATTAAGGATCAGATTTAATTCTTTGGTATAAGCATGAAACTGTTACTGATAGCTTTACATGGCTAGCATAAACCAAGTAACCCAAGGAGCATGAGAGACAATGAAGTCTAGTACACAATGCAAGGTAGGCAGGAGTGATAATGTTTTTTGTTTTGTTTTGTTACAGGAAAAGAAAAGTCAACATCTAACACCAGAGAAACTTAACACCTACTTAAAGGTTTGCACTATATAGCAAACCAAAACGTCAAGCTTCAAAGTGACCAAACTTGTTAACCAGTAGCTGGAATATTTTGCTGCATTTTGGCATTTTACTGTAATTTACAGTATACAACTATTAAGGGACTCTTAGCACTATCTTGGCACATCAGACTAACTCCTCCCACCCCTCCAGAATAGGCAAAAAATCCTTTCTCCTTATAAATGTCTGAAGTTTGTATCATGTAAGAAATCAGAGTGAAAGGAACACAAGGTTACAGTGTAACTCTATTATAATTTTGCATTTTCTTTGACATAAACAAGTATATTTTTCTTTTTAGAGTTGTAAATTAATTTAGCAAGCTTAAAGCTTATGAACTTTAACATTCTGAATAAGAAGAAAGTGTAGGACTTTATGGCTATTAAGTTTACTACAAAATATCTAAGGGACTCAATTTTAAAATTTTAATTCGTATAAATGTCATCTGAAAAAGAATTTGTGGACATTAAAGACTACACTAAATCCAAAGAATATACCTATAACTGGGTTTTGAAGTTATTCATCTAAGTTTATAATCTTTCAACTTGCTACTTCCTTTCATGCTTTCTTCATTTATGAAACACAAATTGTCAGGTTTTTTACATCGGACCTTCTCCCTCCAACACCCTGTCAGATTAACTTTGTAAATACGCATTTATAGCCTTGAAACACCAACATTTTAAACTGACACTAATGCCAAGAACCACATTTTTTTGTTAAAAGTTCAGCACTAAAGACTTATAACTCTGGGTGTTTAACCTAAAACTACCTGAAAAATAAACCAAATTCCAGATATTTCCATAAATCTTAAAAGCCAAAACTGGAATTCTCAAGTTTTTAAAACATCTCTCATGAAGAAAAGGCAACTGCACTTATTATATCAACGCTACTAAAGGATAAGTGACAACAACAAAGAGGCCTACTCATATTTCTGAAAACTAAGATTTACCATGGCAAAGTCTAAAAAAATGGGCAAAGTTGATGAGAACCTAAATACAACTATCATAAAAATAATCAATTTCTATCTTTGTCTTCCCTCTGCTGCATGAGGCACCAATGAAGTCAACAGAGAATTGTTCTGTTTGGGCCAACCATGAAATCTTTAAGAACAAATAGGTATATTCCCTGTTACTCTTTCAGGGCATTATTTTATACATGTTTTTCTTAAAAAAACAAACAAACAAAAAAAAAAAACTTCAAAAATAAGATTTAGCCTTGTGAATATTCTGAAGTAAAGTTTCTTGAATTTCTGTGATGAATTCTTCAAGCAATCCAACTTTTTCAAACAGTCATCATTTAAAAGTTCCTTTGACATGGACTCTTATCCCACAGTTACAAAGCGACTTCCTCCTTTGTTGAACGTGAGCGTTGCTCTTTGTTCCTTCAATATCCCAAATCGCTCATTCAAAGTCATTCCTGTCTATAGAAAGGAAAAAAAACATGATTAGAAACCACATCTGCATTGGAACAATATAATCTTATTATTGACATTAACAATAGCTAACATGCCCTGAATATTTGTGTGCATGACCTCATTAGACCCTAGCAAAAACCAGATGAAACAGGTGAAATTTGATGTTTACAGAAGCTAATTAAATTTTTAAAAAGTTAGTTAAGTTGCTTACCAGTAGCTCCAGAATTTAAACTAGTAGCCCGACTCAAGATCCCTACCCCTAACCATTATTGCCTATATTATACACTATATAGAATACATACAGAATGCCTATCAATCATATACTCAAGATGCCTCTATATGAATTATTTTCAGGCTCTGCAAACATTGCTATAAACTCTAATGATATCCTGATAAAAAGTGTGAGTTATTTCAACTTGGGAATATTTTAAAACAATTTTTCTTGAATTTCTCAGTTCCCTACAGAAATTCAAATGAAAATGTGTTTTTTGATTAATCACTAACAAAGTACTCCCAAAATGAGTCATAATTACAAAATAAAATAAAAATAAGAAAAAAATATATTTTGATATTAGAGATCGTACCCCTAGACCAATTTGTTTTTTAAGGGCTTCATGCTTGCAAAGCAGGCACGCTACTGCGTGAGCCATACCTCCACTCCATTTACTCTGATTATGCTTGGAGATGGGTGTATCAAGAACTATTTGGGCTATTTGAGCCAAATCCTCCTGATTTCAGCCACCCAAGCAGCTAGGATTATAGGTGTGAGCCACTGACTCCTGGCTTGCTCAAATTTTTTCCATACTTTGTATTTACAATTCCAGATTCTTATTTCAATGGACACCAAAAAAGTGTGACGAAATCCAATATTCATTCATGATAAAAATTCTTAACAAGGGCTGGGGTGTGTAGCTCAAGCAGTACAGTGCTTTCCTAGCATGTGCAAGGCCCTCAGTTCAATCCCCAATACCACCAAAACAAGCAAAAAAAAAAAAAAAAAAAAAAAACTCACAGCAAATTAGGAAGACAGGAGTTCCCTCAATCTGACAAAAGAAATTCATAAAAAAAAAAAACCTATGGCTAAAATCCTTCTGAATGGCATTTTCCTTAGGCTTTAGGACGAGGCAAGCACACAAGGTCTTACTACTTCTATTCAACATTATACTGGAGGTCCTGCCCATTATAAAAAAACCAAGAAAAACAAAGGACCTAAACACTGAAAAGGAATTTAGAGAATGAGTTGTTGGGTTATATAGAGTATCCTAAGGAATATAGAAATTTACTATAAATATTAAGTGAGTTTAGAAAGATTATCAGTCAAAACCACAGTAAGAAACCACTTTACACTCACTTAGATGACTACAATTAAGTGACAGATAGTAAGAAGTGCTGGCAAAGAGATGGAGAAATTTAGAAACTCTTATAAATTGGTGGGGATGTAAAATAGCACAGCTGCTTCTCTGGAAAAGTTTGGCAGTTTCTCAAATGGTTAAACAGGGAAATCACCATACAATCTACCAAATTTACCCCTAGGTATTTACCAAGGAGAAATGAAAACATATGCCCCCATAAATATTTGGACACATATGTTCAAAGAGGCATTATCATAGCCAAAGAGTGGAAATAAAATAATCCAATTTTCTATCAACTAAGAACAAATTAAAATGTGGTGTGTATATATATATATGTGTGTGTGTGTATATATATATATATGATGAACATTATTCAAACAATAAAAAGAAATAAAATACTAATACAATATGAATGAACCTTAAAAATATTATGGTAAGGAAAAGCATCCAGTCACAAACGTCATGTATTATGTGATCCAATTTTATATGAAATGTCAAAATAGCCAATCTGTAAGAGACAGAAAGCAAGTAGTAGTTGCCTGGGGCCAGGTGACAACCTGTTTAATTGGCTGTACAGCAATTTTTAAAAATATATACTGTCAATAAAGAGCTCAAAGAAATACAGAAAATTTTACCTGTTTTCCAACACTATTGATGTCAAATTGTAGGGGGACCCCTTTAGGAACTTTCTTTACATCAGACTGCTCTCGTTTTGTTAAGAATGAGGGTACGGAGGTCCGAGTTAATCGTGGTTTCTGAGTTCTATCAGAAAAAAAGTTAAAATTAGTTCAACAACAGAAAAACATTTGATAGTTAAAATGACGTACATATGTTCAAGTGTATTAGGGCTCTTCTATTGTGTTCTCAAAAAAAGTATCTAGCTCTCAACCACCTCAGAGGCTAAAATTTTTAACTGTTCATAGACTATCTCTTTACGTACAACTACAAATAATTAACAATTTTGAATGATTGCTGATTTCTAAGTCTTGGTCTTTAAAATAAAGTAACGTGTAAAGACCTATCCTTTACATTCTTTACATTTCAATTATTAAGGTAGCTGGAATTATACATAGAAACTCTATAAAACTAGAAAGTTTATTATTATACAATAAATACAATGAAATGGTTAAGATCATCTAGATAAGAGAATACACTATGATGCCTTTAAAGGTAGGTCTATAAATGGGTCTGAAAAGGCAAGGCACCCAAAATATACCAGGAAGAAGGAACAAGTATGTGCAGTACCATCCCATTTGCTACCATGTATGCATTCAAAACTGTACAATTATTTGTAATGCTTGAAAAGATTTTTTAAAAATAGAGATATAAAAGAGCTAGATATGGTGACACATGCCTGTAATCTTAGCACTTGAGAAGCTGAGGTATTACAATTTTAAGTTCCAGGCCAGCCTGGGCTGTATCTGTCTGTCTAGCTACCTGAAATCATTAAAAAGGAGTTTTTTAGGGATGTAGAACCAGAAATCTGGGAGCTTTTACTTTACCCTATATTATTTCCAATTTGTTATCACAAGTGTTACTTTAATCCTTGATTCTCACTTTATCTTATCTCAGACATCACACTCTGAGCACAAGTCCAATACTTATCCATTATCTAATTTACTAAGCGTTCACAACTTTCACAAAACGAAAGAAAAGACTTACACTGGGCACTGCACTGCTCCAGGATTGTCAATGGATACTGTCAGAATTCCTCCATTTGTGGTAGAAGTACGCCATCTAGTTTCAAAAAACAAAAATTTCATTAAAATGGAAGTTTATAAATCTAGTAATAGATCCCACACAAAGATAGTCTATCGACTGATCGATCTGTCTATCCACCCACCCATCTATTTTGGTGCTGGAGAACCCAGGGCCTTATATGCTTGCTAAGCAAGCATTCTACTACGGAGCTACAACTCCAGCTCCAAAATATGCATTTTTAGAAGTGGCTACTTCTTTTTCAGATTTTAAGAAGCAAAGACAACTGGATCTATCATATATTTTAATCAGTGTGTTGGATGTAAGAACTGGGCACTTGAATTTATTACTTTTCAATATAATAAATATGAACACATTTAAAACAAAATCAAATACAGAAGGACTTCTAATGAAACCTGGAGGCAGCACATCTAAACTTTCCTGCTTTTACTGCTTGCTGGTTACTTCTAGTTCACTAAATAAGATGCTTACGTAGGAAAATCTTGCAACTTAAATCTCTTATTTCTTCCTGTAAGTGTATTTTTAAATTATTTTTTGGTGGTACTGGAGCTTGAACTCAGGTCCTCACACTTGCTAGGCAGGTGCTCTTACTGCTTGAGCTAATCTGCCAGCTCTTTTTTGTGATGAGTTTTTTTTTCCGAGATAGGGTCTTGTGAACTATTTGCCTGGAGCTGGCTTTGAGCGGTGATTCTCCAGATTTCTGCCTTCTGAGTAGCTAGGATTATAGGTGCAATCCACTGGGGCCTGGCCCTGTAGTGTCTCTTGATCCCCTCTTCACTTTGTGGGTAGTCCCTTCTCATCTTTCTTTCTACCCCATCTTTCCTCCCACTTTGTATCTTCTACTTTTCATCAGCTCTACTTCTATCGTTATTAGTAGTATTATTTTGAATTGGAGGGATCTTTTATATAGCCCATGCTGGCCTTGAACTTGCAATTCTCCTGTCTCAACTTCCCAAGTGCTGGGATTGAGTGCCAGCATTTCCAACTGTCAGCTCTTTTATGTTTACATTAGACAAAATCTGATACTTATATATATTCTATTTCCAAGTTAACTATTTTGTGTTTTGTCTACAGGTTGATTTTCAAAGTTCAAAAATAAATACCATCCATTATCACTATTATGATAGTGATAGTTTACTACAGAAAGAAATAGGCTATGATTAATATTTCCTTTAGTTATTTTTTGGATAGGATCTCACGGTTTTTGTCTGTGGCCAGTCTTCCTTCCTATGGGTCTCCCATATAGCTGGTATTACAGATACATGCCACACCTGACTTACTGGTTTAGATGGGATTTCACTAACTTTTTTCCCAGGCTGGCCTCAAATAATGGTTCTCCCAATCTCTGCCTCCCAAGTAGCTGGGATTAGAAGTATGCACCACCATGCCTAGCCCTATTACTACTTCCCTTATGGTTTTCAATGTCATGGCCCCTGAACAAAATAAAAAATGCTGTCAGTATCAGGTTAAATTAGTTTCTTTTCCTACACCCTGCTCAAAATCGTACTGCACAGTACTCAGCATCACATGTAGACCATGACTGCATTTCATGTTGTATTTTCTAAAAAGCAGCTATAATTTTAGATAGTTTAATCTCAAAACCTGATCATATTGATGGAATTAAGAGTGTTCAACCCATAGTACTGCCAAAGAAGTATAATTAAACAGACAAAAACAGATTTTTTTTTTAAAAAGACTTTTTTTTTTGGTGAAACTGGGATTTGAACTCAGGGCTTCATGTTTGCAAAGCAGGTACTCTACTACTCGAGCCAACACCTCCAGTCATTAAAAACATTTTTACAGAGTTACATGGGAAAATATTCTATTATTTAGTTTTACAAATTTCCTAAAAGCTCTACTGAATTTTCGTTTATTTATTTGTATAAAAGCAGATACAGCCTCCCAAAAATAGGAGGGAAGAAAAAATCTTTCATTAAAATGGAATAAATAGGCAATAATAAATAATAGTAATTTGCTTAGTGCTAAAACTGTTAGAACACTGACATATGAAAACTCAAAAAAGGTTTTTGATGTGACTGGGGATGTGGCTCAGTAGTAAAGTGCTTGTCCAGTATTGTGTGAGGTCCTGGGTTTAATTTCCAGCACTTAACACATGCACATACATGCATAAATTGAGAAAAGAAACAACAAAAATAATTTCATTTGGAGTCGTCTTAATCTCTTTTCACACTATAGCACATAATAATTTGAGTAGCTAGTATTCTATGAGTTTTGAAATGACATCTTGAAAACAAATTGAAACTTACTGACGAGTTCTCTTTGCTACTACATCATCTAGCAGTTGCTCTGTGTTCAACTGGGCCTGAACCTAAAAAAGAGAGAGAGAGAGAAAAAAAAAAAGCAGTAGATCCCATAGAAAGCAGAAGATTCAAATCTAAGCAGCTACCATACACTCTAACTTTATAACCAGTGTGGTATGTGCAGAATGCAAGAGAGGGGGGTCTGTTCTATTCTGGCAATACCACTCTGTTGAGGTTCCTATATAGAAACAAGTAGCAAACCAAGTTATATATTAAATAACATGTCAAGTTCTTATAAGCTGCTAATGAGAGTAAGAAAAGACAAGGAATAAAAAAAAATGTAACAGAAAAAAGTAATCTAATGTCATGTTTTCCATAGCCCAAACCTATTCTCCTCAACCATGGACTATACCTATGATTGAGTATCACTAAATGGGTCCATTTTGGGTAAAAAGAAAACACCACTAAGGCTACTTAATACCTTCAGGCCTCTTCTGAAAAGAAAAGTTGCCTGACGAGTGTCTTTCTGATGGCTTAATTTATTTCCACTCCTGGTAAAATTAGCTGGAATGTTATTTCTGCAACGAAAACACATATATCATGAGTAATCTCAATACTTTGCTTTTAAACATCTTGAGAAAAAATAAAAATATTTAAACTCAGGCTGAAAACCTGATAAACATTTACTATGGAATACTCTGAATTGTTTCCTTATTTACATGAAGCAATTGAATTCGATTTACAACTATCTCCTTCTGCAGCATATCACCTGGTTAATTTTGAAGTAATTTATCTTCCAAATAATCTGCTTTCTAATATTCCAAATATAAGATGTCTTCTGAAGACATTTACAAAATCACATTTTAAATGCTATTTCCTATTCCTAAATTTGGTGCAAACCTAAATTTAGAGATTTACAGAATTAGTGCAAAGAATATCAAACAGGCACATTTATAATCAAATTGAAAACCAAATATAAAAAGAAAGACTTGAAGAACCACCTCTCCTCCTCCAGCTTTCTTCTTTCCTCACACAGAAACCTTTATATATTAATACAATCCACAGGGCTGGGGATGTAGCTTAGTGATAGAGTATTTGCCTAGCATAAGCAAGGGCCTGGTTTTGATCCTCAGCAAAACACACACACACAACACTATATGTACAAATACATACACATACATGTATACACATGTATACATATATACAAACACATACACACACATCCATACACACCACTGAGAAACTTATCCTTTTCTACTTTATTCTTTCATATACAGAATGGACACTTATATTTAACTTCCACCACTTTTCATTTTCTGTAAGAAGTTGCAAAATTTCCTGTTTATCTACAATATAAGCAAGTGCATAATAGGTTACCTAATCTTACTTCCAATCTTATAGAGGTTCAAATGCAAAATTTCCCAAGTGAACCCAATGAACATCTAAGTCTCATGTAAATGAGAGGTTCTTATTTGTGAAGTTCTCCTCTCACAAAAGATACTACCAAAGATAATGACTAAGTAAAACTGCAATTCTAGCCATTTTATTCATAAAAAGACCTCATTCCAGGTTTTGTTTATATCTAATATATAAATGAACAAATGTGGGCTAGTATAGTGGCCCAAGCGGTAGAATGCCAGCCTAGCAAGCACCCTTGAGTTCAACCCACAGTACCACCACCAAAAAAAAGAAGAAATGGTACTAGGGTTTGAACTCAGAGCCTCATACTCGCTGGGCAGGCACTCTAACTGAGCCACACCCCCCAGCAAGAAATGAATAAATGGTACTTCAAACTGAAATATGGTAACTTCACAGCTTGTCAGCTTCCTTTCTGAGTACTTTATCTTTACAGAAAACAGAATACTAAAACAGGTCATAATTTTTAGGTTTGTTTTTTATGCCTTTCAATTTAGTATAAAAATTTCAGCTTAAAAAACATTTATATGCAATTTCTTTCTTTCTCACTTGCTTTTTCCACAAATAATTCATTGTAATTCAGTGTTTTAATAAAAGTCATCAAAACTGTTCAGTTTTCAGAATTCTCAATTTTGAATAATTCTGACCAAAGTATTAGAATTTTTACCTAAGTAATCAGTTTTACAATTTGTCAAGAGAGGTAAAAAAGCAGAGTGATGCCTTTTTAAACACTTTATATTAGTGTAATTCATCGGTAATACTGTATCTAAGAAATAAGGAAGCTACTACTGAACACTCCTTTGTTGCACTTTAGATAGACATCTCAAATATCTTTTCTCTTTTTTTGTGGTGCTGGGAATCAAACCCAAGGCACATGCATGCTAAACACTCTTACCAACTATCTGTCTTGAAAATGATCAGATAACTAGAAGAATCACTGTAAATACACTCTTCTGAACACTTAGTGAAAGAAGTATTTATTTATACAGGTTAATACAATACTGTCTTATATTAAGTACTTAAAAAAGTACTTACTTTCTGTTTAACTGATTAGGTCTCTTGAGAACTGCAACTGGTTTCCTTTGCACTTCATTTTGTCTCAGAAGGCTTGCCTTCCTTTTTAACACTGGAAAATACCGTTCTATATTCTTTCAGAAGGTAAGAAACTATGTTAATCGAATTGCTTTTTTATGATATACCCTATCACAATAAACATTTCTGATGTAGAATAATAACAACTGACAACTGCTCAGATGTATAGATAAGGAAGAGAAACTAAAATGACTGAAAAATTTCCTAAGTGACCAAAAAGATGAAAACCACATTATACTTAAAATATCTGATGTACTCTGGGAAATGTACCTCTGGAGCTCAAGAAAAGAATCAAAGAGCCAGAGATGTAAATTATGGAACAATTTACATAAACACAATTCTGATACTAAGCCCTATGGTTTGGATAAGTGTTCTCTACCCCAGTCCATGTGTTAAAGGTTTAGTTCCCGGGGTGGGAGGTCATGGAAGCTTTAGTCTAGTAAGTCACTGGAGGTGGGGGATGGGGACTTGAAGGGACTGAGCAACCCTGCCCCTTCTCTTTGCTTTCTGATCATGAGATGAGCTGTTGCTCCACTATGTGCTCTGACATGATGTGCTCCCTCACCAGAGGTCTGAAGCTATCTACACTGCCCCTTCTTGACTCTCCCATCTTGAACTGGAACCTGCAAGACTGTGGGCTAAAAAAAAAAACCCCAAGTTATTATAATAAACCTAAGTTAATTATGTCAGGCATTTTGTTATCATAACGGAAAGTTGACTAACACATTTAGGGATAAGAGGGTCAAGTTCCAAAACTAATGTGTGAAAAAGAAACAAGGGCAGTTTCAACAGCAAAGGAGTTGGAATAGAAAAGGAAAATTCATTATGATAAAAATCACAAACTCAGATATGGCCACTTTTTCTTCCTCCACATTTATAAGTTAAATCTATCATTAAAGCCTAATTTAGGTTCCCATGTTTTCCATGAGACATAACTAAAGTTTACTAAACATGTATAGACTTATTTTTTTTGTCATTATTTCCGAAACAACTATTTGCATATCATTTATACTGTATTAGGGATAAGTAATCTAGGAATGACTTAAAGTATTCAGGACGATCGATGTGCATATGTTATATGCACATATTATGCCATTTTACATATAAGTAGCTTGAGCATCTACAGATTTTAGTATAGAAGGAGTGTCCTAAAAACCAATTCCTCACTGCTATGGAGGGACAACCATATTTGAGAATGTGGAAATTCAGATATTCTTTGTAAGTGGCAATGATTTTTACTGAAAAATTTTTGTAAGCTTACAAAAAAGTACTAAAAAAAATTACTAAAAAAAAATCAGGCCTGGGGATATAGCTTAGTGGTAAGAGTGATTGCCTAGCATGTGTAAGGGTTTAATACCCAGCACCCAAAAAAATAAAGCAACAACAATAAATAAAAAATGCTCTCTAAAAGCTTACTCATAAAAATATTAGTACAAATAAAGGAAAGCGTGTCTGAGGATTAAGCCATCATCCTACTCTGTCACTTAGAGGTGGACGATTCATAGGACTAATTCCTTTTCGAATTCCAGTTGCTTTTCTAGCTGCAAGGCCAGTGATAACTCCATAGGGATGTCTCTTTCCAGGCATTACTCTTCCTCTGCGGTTCAGACTAGTTTTACCAAAACCTGTAGAAGGAAAAGAAGAAACAGTATCAATTAGGAATGCAATTGGGATGGTCACAGGATATTCTATTTTCTCAAGTAAGGTGAGGGTATGAGTGCTTTATTTATTATTATTTATATATATGAGTTTCATAATACGTTTTTTTTTTGTGGTACTGGGGGTTGAACTCAGGGCCTTACACTTGTTAGGCAGGTGCTCTACCACTTCAGCCATTCCCGTGGCCCTTTTTGCTTTAGTTATTTTGGGGACAGAGTCTCACATTGGATGATAATCTTCCTATTTATACTTCCAGAGTAGCTAGGATGACAGGAGGGTACTACCACACCAGCTATTTGTTGAAATGACTAACTTTTTACACAGGCTGGGCTTGAACTACAATCCTCCAGGTCTCTACCTTCGAAGTACCTGGGATAACAAGCAAGAGACACCACAATCAGCCAAAAATACTTCATTTTTAAACAGCAAGTAAGATGCACTAGAAAGGGTTCTATGGTTGACTAGACTGCCAAGGACCAGATGATTTCCACATGTCCCTTCTAAGTCATCCCTTCTTTTTATTATGTGGTGCTGTAGACTGAAATCAGGGCCTCACCCATGCTAAGCAAGTTCTCTACCAATGAACTACACCTCCAGCCCCTATTATTACTTTCTCAACAGGACAGTCTATACTTTACCTGCATAAAACAGTAGCCACTATTCATACATGACTTTTGAATAAATGAAATACAACTAGTCTGAATTGAGATGTTACAAGTACAATAATATTAATTATTTCATTAGGTTTTGTATTAATTATATGTTGAAATGCTAATATTTTGAATATGCTGGGCTAAATAAAAATTACTAATATGTGGTTTACATTTTATTTCTACTGGATAGTAGTGACCTACAGTATAATCACTATCTCATCTCCCACTTACTACATTGCAATCTGACTTTTTCTTTTTTTTTTTTCTTTGTACTGGGGTTTGAACTCAGGGCCTCATGCTTGCTAGACAGGCACTCTACCACTTGATAGGGTCTCACGAACTATTTGCCTCCTGATCTCTTCCTGAGTAGCTAGGATTATAGGCATGAGCCACAGGTGCCCAGCCTGGCTTCTTCACTTTCAGTCCTACTCTATTCAAATTGCTTTTCTTAAGTCCCCTTGAGTGTCAACGTACATGTAATATTACTCATTTTGATTTTCCATTATATATCTTACCAATTTAAATATTTTTCCTGAATATTAAAAAATGCTACTGTAGGTATTCTAGAAACATATTTTTAGTTTCAACTATATTGAAAAAGACAATCACATGGGGTAATTCACCATTTTTTGTATTAAATACTTAGAAGGTGAACTGAATCAATCTTTCAGCAACTATATTTCACATTCTATGTACTATTTTATAGCTTACATTAACATTACACTATAAATGTTTTATGTCCTCTATTGCATAACTTTTTTTCTTTTTTTGTGGGACTAGGATTTGAACTTAGGGCACACCTCATTATTGCAATACTTCTTAATGTGCCACACTTGAGATCTAACCAGCTTCTTACTAATCATTAATTTCTAACACTTTAAACATCCATTATTATTTCAAGACAAATTTCTAGAAGGTGAAATGCCAGGTTAAAAAGTAAAGCAAACTCTTAAGAAGTTTTATTTATGGTGCAAAATCCATGCCAGAAATGAGTGTTCATTCATTTATATTCCCAGGAACATAAGAAACATTGACAACTCAGTATGTTATCATTTTTTTTTTCATTTAAAAGTTTTCATTTAGGGGCTGGTGGAGTGGCTCAAGTGGCAGAGAGCCTGTCTAGCAAGTGTGAGGTCCTGAGTTCAAACCCCAAAACTGACAAAAAAAAGTTTTTATTTAAAAATATTTTGGAGTGCTATATTTGAATTTTATTAAATCTCCTTGGACATTTTTTTGCAGTGCTTGGGATTTAACCCAGGCCCCGTGTACACTAGGCAGGTGCTCTACATCTCCAATCCACTCTTTTTCATCATTATCACTTAATATTTGAAAAAAAAAAAAAACTTTCCTTATTTGGTAGTTTGATTACTAGTGAGAATAAACATTTTCCATATGTTTGTTGGCTATTTGTACTCTTCCATTAATGAAATGTCATGTTCACAAACCAGTTTTCTGTGGTTAAGTTTTGATTTCCTTCAATGTCATAACAGAGGAATTACATTAGATAGATAGATATAGATGTAATCATTTATATATATAATCAATTTTTCAACAACCAACATCTTGGGCTGGAGGAATGGCTAAAGTGGTAGCATACCTGCCTAATAAGTGTGAGGCCCTGAGCTCAAATCCCAGTACCTTCAAAAAAAAAGTCCAAGAATCAGCATCTTTACATCATGACATAGCATACCTCCCCACCTATACACGTCTTTTTTTTCCTCACTAAATTGGCTCAGTAAAATTTTTAATGCAACAGTCAGAAATTTCAGAGATTCATACTTAGTAATGATTTTGGTAGTGGGCATTCTCATCTTAATTCTGATTTAGGGGAAATATTTTCAGAATGGTAATGTATTATACATCTGCAACGTTAGCAGGTATCACCAAAAAGTTTCAAGGCAGTGGTAGGGCATCTGCCTAGCAAGCCTAAGGCTCTGAGTTCAAACCCCAGGATCAGCCCCGATAGCCCAAAAAGTTTCATGGCTAAAATAATTTCTCAGGGCCAACAGGTATGATGAGTTTCTAAGGGGGTGGTAAAGAGCATATGCCATTCCCAAGCTTATCTAACTCTTACCCCTTTTTGAGTGATGTCCCTATCAGTAATTTTGAGACCAGACAGTAAAGTAAGACAATAAAATCTGTTACATTATGATGGTTGAATCACTTATCAATTTATTGCCTTCAGCTCCCAATTCACTTTTACTGCCCTGCCTTTGATAAGAACATCACTGATTAGTCAACGAGTATTATGTTAAACTTTGTTAAACTTTCACCAAATGAAACCAGTCCCCTCATCCCTCAGGCCCTACCAGGCTGATATAATGAGGCTAGAGAAATGCTGATGGCACAAAAATTGTGCAAGGTATCTTAAATTCTATATCCTAGGCAATTATCTAGTTCTTGCCCCTGATCACCCCCTAGTGAACCTAAGCTGCATAACCCCCACAGGGAGCTTCCCAGTGAGTCCCATCAGCAAGGCAACTCAATGAACTTCTAACCATCCAGGGAGCCATGGTGAAGAATTCCAAGGTCAGGAATTCAGAGGGGTAGAGGGGTTCCTTCCAGATCTGTTCCTTTCCCAGGTGCTCTACCTCTATTTTAAAGGTATTATAATTAATTTTATAATCACGAAAAAACAACAGAAATAGAAATCAAAAATTTTTGAATCAAATTATTGCTGCTCTACACTTGATTCCCTTTTAGAATGATTAAACCATGTTAGGGTAACCTGCATATTAAATCTATGACTTGCTATTTTTACTTGTACTAACTAATGGAATAGCTACCACTTAGTGTGCTAAGCTTTGTGCTGAATAATTTAATTTACATGAGAGCCTGATGAGGTTGGTGCTAACAACTTAATTCTGCAGGTGAGCAAAAATGAGGTAAAGAGCTAGATACCAGTGACTCATGCCTGTAATCCTAGATACGTGGGAAGCTGAGATCAGGAGGATCACAGTTCAAGGCCAGCCTGGGCAAATAGTCTGTGAGACCCCCCCCATCTCAAAAATAACCACAGCAAAATGCAAAATGGACTTGATGTGTAGTTCAAGTGGTAGAGCACCTGCTTTGCAAGTATGAAGCCCTGAGTTCAAAGCCCAGTCCCACCAAAAAATAAATAAAAATAATAAATTGAGGCAAAGAACAGTAACTACTGAGAGGTCACAGAAAAAAAAGCAGAACCATGATCTAAGTGTGGATGTATGGCTCTAAAAACTGAATATTCTCCAAACTATGATATAAAAATTGAAGAGTAATAAAAATATAATATAACCTATAATATATTTCCAAGGAGAAACAAACAACTTACTATTAAAAAAGTAGGCTATGGACTAGGTATTACAAAATGGACAAGATCTGAACAAACATTAAGGATTCCAGGTTGGAGTGACTAGTACAAAGACATGGGTGGCCATACCATACTGAGAGACCTAAGTCTAGTGAACAAGGATAGTAAGTAAATGGGGCTGGACGCATGGCTCAAGCAGTAGAGCACCTGCTTTGAAAGCATGAAACTGAGTTCAAACTCCAGTACCACAGGGAAAAGAGGATAATAAGTGAATGGACCTGTTGGGCTCAAATCATACAGGGCTTTAATTATGGATAAAGATTGCACTTGACAAGGAATGAGGAGTACTGAATTCATAATTAGACTACATCAGCTTAACAAGCAGTACTTAAGACTTCCAGTTGGAAGAGGAAGAGAAAAGGTGATAAGACTATTTTATTTTAGCACAACTGGGGTTTGAACTTAGGTCCTCACACTTGCTAAGCAGGTGCTCTACCACTTGAGCCACTCCACCAGCAATAGGACCATTTTAGATGCTATGATAGCACTCAAATGTGACATGGTAAAAGTACTGGGTAATGAAGAAATGTGAAAGTATTCCAAAAGAATGAACAGTAGGGCAAAGAGAAAGATTAAAGGGAGGAGGAATCCATTATTGTACCATAGTTTCATGATCAGATGAAACTGAGGAGAAATTGATTAATGATGCCTTCTGTTTCTTTTTAAGAGTATATTGTTCCCATATACATTATCTTTTCCACTGCCTGTTTATCCATGAGAATAACTAAAACTGGACATAGAAAATTTCCCAGAAAAGGAGTCTCACCAGAACTCAACTGTGCTGGCACCATGATCTAAGATTTCCAGCCTTTAGAACAGAAAAACACTTAGCTTACAGTACTTTATTACAGCATGCTAAACTAACTTCAGATATTGCTTCTGATGTTGGTGGTGTGGCTCAAGTGGTAAAGCAACTGTCTACCAAGTACAAGGCGCTGAGTTCAAATACTGATACTGCCAAAAAAGGGGTCACTTTTTGTATTTAATTTGATTATCGAATGTCACAGATTCAGGAAAAATATATGTTCATGAGAGAATAAAATAAAAAAATTAATGTCATAACATAAAAAGTCTTGACTTTGTGGGCATCTTGATTCTTACGGACTCTAGAGAGATGCACAGATATCATTTTAAGAACCACTGCTCTTAGTACTCTACCACTATAAGACATTTAATTTGTTTCTACAAATGCTCATTTCATGTCTAAAGTGTATTTTAGGCATGGAGTTAGAAAGACTTCATTTATTTATTTCAGAATCAAAAATCATATAGAGTATCTGTCAATGGCTTTCTTCTGTCATACTTATTCTCTTACCTTAAACTAACACTCTCACTTACATTACAATGTGAAAATCTAACCCTTTCCTACCCAGTCAGAGCTTAAGACAATTCTATAGCTCTCTGCACATTCAGAACTAGCAGCAGCTGTTCTATTTTAACCCCTGTCACATGTGAGCAGAGAAAGTAACTTAAGTGCAAGCTCAATATTAGGAGATCCGAAGCTGCCACTAGATATCACTTATCTCAAGGCTCAGATCATAACTTCCATAAAAGGAAGAAAGTTTTTCTGATCCTCATGGACCAGATTATATTTTGCCTTAAACCTTAAATCAACCACAGTCTTATATGATCTGAATTTCTCATTACATTTCTCAAACTCTACCTTTTCTATCTTATTTCTGCTACTAGAAACTAATTCCTAAAGTAAAAGACCACATCTTTATGTACCCCCAAGAACCTGATCAATTCAAAGCATTTATCAGGTATTTAAAATATTAATGAATATTATTTCTGGCTTCTATGAACTCAAAATAGTTACTTCAAAATAAAATATATAAATATATTCAACATATAAAATATATTAAATGGCATAGTGAATAACATTTGTAAGAAACATCTGAATATAAATCAAAGAATTACATACTCATTTGCTACAGCTAAATACCTGTCATGAAATTTACTAGCTAGTTTCAGTTATTCAAAAAACAATTATAGAAAAGAGTAACATTTTTGTAGGGTCTAATCTCAGTTATAGACATATTTTGAAGACATGCTGGCATATTAGCTGTTAAATGTAGAATTATTTCCAAACTACTGTAGATTGCTTTTTTTTTCAACACATAGCATAAAAGTACAATTTGTCTCAGAAATAACTGTGTTTCAAAAAATGCACAAAAGTAAAGAAAAGAATGTTTAATCACTGAACAGAAGGAACTACTAACATTTTGGTATATAACACGCCAGGTTTCATATGCACGTGTGTACTTTTAAATTTTTCACCTTTCACTAACTTCTGTGTTGATTTTGGTGGAAGTGAGGCTTGTACTCAGGGTTTCATGCTTGCAAAGCAGATGTTCTACCACTTGAGCCATGCCTCTCCAGTCCATTTTCCTCTGGTTATTTTGGAGATGGGGTCTCTCAAACTATGATCAGCATGATCATGCCCAAACAGCTGGGATTACAGGTGAGAACCACTGCATCAGGCAAATGCTTTTTTATATAACTAGAAAACACTTAAAAGTGTTTTATTTGAACAAAAGTTTATTCTAGGGCTGGGTGTGTAGCTTAAGTTGTACAGTGCTTGCTTAGGCCCTGGGTTCAAGCCTCAGTACTGTAAAAAAGGAAAAAAAGCTTATTATAAAATGCTGATACAGTTGCTAAAAAAGTTAATGAATCATCTATAATTAATAGTATTCAGTTACTTCCTTCAATCCTTTTTAAAACAAAATACATGTAGAGTTTCATATTATATCTAAAGCATTCACTTTGGGAGTTGGAGGAATGGCTCATGCTGTAGACTGCCTGCCTAGCAAGCACAGTGGTCCTGAGTTTAAACCCCGGTACAGAAGTGGGAAAGAAAGCATTCATTTTGGAGTTTGACCTTTGGAGGATTTAACAAATCCTAAAACTTTTGTATGATAAAGAGCAGGAGGTAATTTTCTATGCAGAATAGTAATCTCCACATACTAAAGGGTTCTCATTTAGAAAAGGGAGTTTATTTCCTTTAATACTAGAAGGAATAGATAGGCATGCTTTAATTCAACTTAAGAGCTGGAATTGTGGCGCAAGTCATAGGGACCCTGCCTAGGAAGCACAAGGCTCTGAGTTCAAACCCTCATACCACACATACACACACACACACAAATTTCAAAGGGAATTTTCTAGTAAATACAGTTGTCTACAATAACTTATTCAACTTGTCTTATGAGGTGCTATGCTCTTTCACTGAACACATATAAGCTGTAGTTAACCATCAAACAGACTGTTAAAGGAAAATGGGAAGGAGACAGGGCCTCATGATACAAAAAAATATTTTGCAATTCTAAACCCTAAGCATAATCCAGACTATTTATAAACTAAGGTTACTTTAAAATGACTTACTATTTTCAAGAAACACTATTACCATATATTTAAGGAAACAGTTTTTTAAACCAGGTTTTAATAACTAAACAGAATAGAGAAAATATAAATTTCAAAGGAATCTAATGTATTTCCTCAAGGCCTTAAGCATATGCTAAACATAGTATACTATGAATCCACAAATAACAGCATTTTATTAAGACCTATTTTCAAAACTTACCAGAGTTCTGTTGGATTCCCCACCGTACTCGCATCCTGAATTGCCGGGTACCACTTTGCTGGAGTCTTCTATTTAGTCTTGGAAAATTCTGCTTCTTTCCTTCCTTTCGATTCAATTTGATAATATCATCTACAATAGAGGAAATGCCATAATTATCTTCATTTTGACTTAATGGCTAAAATTCTCAGACTCATTTTCTAGTTAATAGACTTCTATGTCCTTAACTTCTCTTCCACTTTTATTTTTATTATTATTTGGGGAGGGAAGGCTAAACAAAGTCTTGCTATATAGTCCAAGCTGGTCTCAAACTTGAGACCCTCCTACCTCAGTCTCCCAAGTGCTGGGATTACATGAGTGAACCACCATACCAGACTTCTCCTTTTCTACTTTTAAAGCACTTTCCTAAGAGGAAAATAATGATAAGAAGATAAAGTTTAGGTCAGCGATTTTGTATGGTGTTCTGAAAAAAGTTTTTATAGGACAAGTTCAATAGCCCAAAGTAGATCTACCAGCTAATGAAGAGTCTGCTGTCCATAGCATTTCCCCCCTAGTGAATGTAAATAAACAAAAGCTTATTTCTGAACAATTATTCATATATATTTACTTTCCATAATCACCAGAAGTCTGCATTTTTAAAGATGACCACCTTTTAGTAAACCATAGGCAGTTAAAAAATTAGCAAATTAAAGGTCAAATTTCTAAATTCACCTGAATTCAGCAAGTATTTACTGAGCATATACTTTGTGCAATGAATGTATTTATAAGGCTGTGCTGTTATGGAAATAAAAAGAGCCATGTGCCATTGGCTCACATTTGTAATCCTAGCTACTCAGGAGGCAGAGATCAGGAGAATGTGATTCAAAGCTAACCTGGGGCAAATAGTTCTTGAGACCTTATCTCGAAAATACATAATACAGAAAAGGGATGGTGGAGTGATTCAAGTGCTAGAGCACCTGCCTAGCAAGCATGAAGCCCTGAGTTCAAACCCCAGTACCACAAAAAAAAAAAAAAAAGCATAATATAGTCCCTGTTCTCAGTAAGTTTAAAATTATTGGAAGAAACAGCAGATATGCAAATAGCAAACACAAAATTAAATAATAAATAAAAGTATATACTTAAAAAAAATACTACTAGTTCTCTAACCAAGTCATTCACATTTACCTTATTTTCTTTTCTAAATGATCTCTGTAATTCTGTAAGCCTCATTATTTCCAAAAATAATTCCCCAGGATAATTCATAAATATCACACTGTCCTAAAACCACAACAGAATAATGTGAAGATAAGAAAACTAAACATATTCCAAATTCCTACTTGTATCTATTATCTGTTATTAGACGTCAACAATACTCATTTAAAAAATATCCGGAATTTTTGTAGTCCTAACTCCAATATTAATGTTGATGCTTGATAAAGGAAATAAACCTGAATAACTGTACAGGCAACAACTTCCTAATAAAACTTAAAACTAATTATCTTCCATCATTTTTACAAATTGCTTTAAGCACAAATTTATGTCAATATAATGAGTCTTTTCTAAGTCAGTGAAGGAACTACAAGAGATTGTAAGGATCATTTCTAATCTATTACTGCTTTACCTCACCCATCTATAATCTTTAAGGTTCTTAATCACATTTAAAGATTCATATTAAATACTCTAAATCTCCCCAACACTGTTGTCTTCTTGAGCTCATCCTCCAAGTGAAAAAGAGTTTACCAAAGTTAAAGACATCAAGGATGGGGGTACAGCTCAGTGTTGAGTGCTTGTCTAGCATGAATGAAGCCCTGGGTTTGATCCCCTGTACCAAGGAAAAACAAAGTTTAAGTCATTAAAATGCAGCTGGGTTATTCACTTTCTACCATAGTGACAAAACACCTAAGAGAGAGAGCCTGGCATGGTTGTTCATGCTGTGATCCCAGCACTTACTCAGAAGGGTGAAACGGGAGGATCAAAAGTTTGAGGCCAGTCTAGGCCACATAGTGAGTTCCTGTCTCAAAAACAAAACAAGGAGATTTAAAAGAAGTAAAGGTTTATTTTAGCTCATGGTTTCAGTCTATGATCACTAGGCTCTGTCTTTCTGGGCCTGAAGTGAGGCATATCATGGTGGAAGCACATGGACAAGGAAAGCTACTGACAGCATGGCAGCCAGGAAGCAGAGCCAGGGGAAGAATTGAGAATGAGATATATCCTTCAAAGGAAAACCACCAGTGATCTACTATTTTTCTTTAACAAGTTACTGTTTATTCTCCACTAGAAATCTAAAAATCAGTCTTGATAGCACACTCAAAAAATGAATTTGGCCAGGTGCTGGTGGCTCATACCTGTAATCCTAGCTATTGAGGAGGCAGAGATCAGGAGGGTAATGGTTCAAAGTCAGCCTGAAGCCAGTTTTCGAGAGACCCTATCTTGCAAATACTCAATATATAAAAGAGCTGGTGGAGTGGCTCAAGTGGTAGAGCACATGCCTAGCAAGCATGAGACCCTGAGTTCCATCCCCAGTATAACCAAAAATAAATATAAATAAATAAATTTGGTTGGGGGTTATTTAAAAATAGACACAAAGAGAGAGAGAGAAATAGTATGAGTTTGACAAACCAGGTTAACTTTAAAATAGAATATATGTGGGCTAAATAGAACTAAAAATTAAAAGAAGGTATATTAAATAAAAAGTTTTTTATATTTAAACACTTTTTTATCTAAATCTTCAAACAAGTTAAATGAGCTATTATTGTGGCAGAAACATGTCTTCCTAACTAAAAGAATATGGCCTTTTTCTACCCAATAAGTAAACAGAATAGGTATCAGAAGAAAAAAATGATCCTTTAAGAGTTTCTTCCATAGTATGAGTTATATAGATAATAATAATAGTAATAGCACTATTTGAGTAGTAAAAGGAATTATTCTGATGTGTATTAAATTAATTCCCCCAACAATCCTATGATAGGAGTGTTATCATAATATTCATTTTTAAAATTAAGAAACTGAGTCATAAGGCCAGCTGTTAGTAAGCATGGTAGATATTCTACATGAATACTTATATAAACCTGGTATAGCCACAATTTAAAACCAAACCCAGAAAATCAGATTCTAAAACTTCTGCAGACCTGACAAAATGAAATATTCACAAAGCATAATGATAATCTAAAAGAGATCATTTTCTGCATTACATTCTGTAAGAGTCTCACTAAAAGAAAGGCTCCTGACAGACTATTGTATGTTCTTGGGATAGAAAGAGACTAAGCTCAATTGTAGCTCTCTATAGCACTTCACGTCTACCTTGAAGAAAATTATCCCTCAGTTCTCTTCACTTGAGCATTCTAATTACCAAACAAAACACATACAAAAAAGAAACAAAAAACCCAAAAGCAGCGCATGGTGGTGCATGCCTGTATCCCAGCTACTCAGGGAGGCAGAAGAAGGAGGATCACCATTCCCTGCTAGCCCAGGAAAAGTAAGCTTTTGAGACCCTATTTGAAAAACAAACTAAATGACTAGAGATGTAGCTCAAGTGGTAGAGCCCTTTCCTAGCAGGCACTGGGTCCTGAGTTCAAACCCTAGTACCACCCCCCCCCCAAAAGAAATAAAATGAAAAACTAAAAGGACTGGGGGCGTGGCTCAAGTAGTAGAGCATTTGCCAATCTCATTGCCCTGAGTTCAGGCCCCAGAACGATGCAAAAACAAAACAAGAACATGTTTTTACACTTCCCTACAACATCTATAGCCTGGGGGGGCGGGGGGTCTGAACCCTGGCTCCACCACTTACTGGCTGAATGGCTTTGACCAAGTTATTTAACTTCTCTGTCTCAGGTTTCTGTAAAATGAGAATAACAACAATGGCGTATGTGCGTGTATAAAAATAAAATGTAGTGCTCGTGTACCAGTAGTGTCCTTAGCATTTTGCACATGCCTGTTGACTCATTCAGTACTTGCAGGAAATCTATGAGGGACATAACACTTAATACGATGGCTTTTTTAAAGCAGCACTGACAAGTAATTTGCCTACCGTGAGTGGCTAGTAAGCTAACGGTGTGGCTCTGGATTGCGGGCTGCCTATCACTAGGAGCACAATCCCCACGGGGTTACTGAGAAGACAGACCAAGTTAACACCCAGCAATGCTGTTCAGAGCCTGGAAGGTAGCAATGTTCAGAGCCTGGAAGGTAGCAATCACTCGGTAAGTATCCCCTAGTGTGGATTCTTGGCTTCAGCTCAAAAGATCCCCTGATTTCTTTGGAGTAACGTCCTGGGGAAGGTTACCCCTCTGTGTCCACTGGTGAGCAATGTACTTTTCAAATAGCCGCACAACTGCAAAGAGAAAGCGCAGGCAGAGCCGACTACATCTAACGCCAATCGCTCTTGGCACAGGGGCTCGAGCCTCGGCCGAGCGAGGTCTCAATTTTTCACATCAAAAATCCTGCTTTTTTTTTTTTTTCCTTTGTGTTACCTTCTAAGTTAATTCTTCTTGAACTAACCTTTTCTCTAGTTCCTGGTCCCCTAAAAATCCTGCTTTTTATGTAACCAGCACCGCCGTCACTCCCTTCTGCCAGGTGTGGACCCCTCGCTCGCAGGACGTCTCTCCCTGGGTCCCTGCTCCACTTTCTTTGAAAATGAGCTAACTTTGAGGCCGGGATGGACCGGGAGAACGAGATTTTCTGGACCCCTTCGAATACCGCACGGGTGACGCGGTGCTCTCCTAACGAAGTTTTCCTCCCGCCCGACACTCGGGGTCCCGCGGGGGGCGGGCCGGGGCCCGGTAACGCCCTGCAGCGCTCTGGGGAACTCGGTTTTACCCGACCGACGACCGACGCCGCCGGGCTGGGACCTTCCTTCGGAAAGACCGACCCGTCGGACCCGCACCCCAGTTCCGAAAACGCCCGCCGCGAGCCCGCACGAGTTCTCCTCACAAAGAACCGGGGTAACCGGCAAGCGGCCGCGGCCCTCTGGAGACCCTCCCCACAGCCCGTCCTCACACGCGGCCTCCGCGGACGGGAAGCCTGGGTCCCTCCGGCCAGACTCGCGTAACCGGCACCCAACCCCGCTCGCGGTTCTCCCCAGGATCCCCGCTTGGTTCCGCCCACCCGCGAGAAAACCCGATCGGCAACTGCGGCCAACCGCCCCCTTCCCCCACAGACCGCGCCACTTGGTTCCACCCGCGCCCTCCCCCCACTCCAACTCGGTCCAACGCGGCCCCTCACCCAGAGACATATCGATTTTGTCTAGGTTTTCATTGCTGCGGGCTTTATGCGGCGGCGGCGGCGGCGGGGTCGCCGTGGCTCCCACCAACCGGGCACCAAACCGGTTCATGGCTAGAGACGTCTCGCTGGAGCAGTGAGCCGGGAAGGCCGGAGTCAGAGGCCTGCCGCCTCCCACTCACGCACGCAGACTGGCTGCACCGCGGCGCGCGCACGCGCGCTGCGGCGTCCTCGCCCTCCCACCCGCGGCGGCGGGCGGGGGAGGGGCTACCGAGACTTGCTGCGGGCCAGAGCGGCCCACGCGGGCTCCGGCTCTCAGCCGCCCCCGCCCGTTGGGGCTCCGCGCTGGGCCCGCTGTCCATGACGCCTGGTGCCACCGCGGCTTTAGCAGTTCCACTTTCGGCCCCAATCGGGAGGCGCTAGATTCAGAGCGCCTCAATATCACGTCTTAAATGCTATCCTGCCCTCGGTGTCCTTCGGGTCCCTGTAGCTGCAGAAGGGCCCCCTAGCTTCAGTACGCACGAACCTTGCACACCCACTGCAATGGAGCCTCGAGAGGCAGGACAGACCCCTGCGGGCGGGGATCGCAGTAATGCGTCCCCGATCCCCGCTCCCTGACGCGCCCCTCCACCTGCAGCGGTCGTGGTTCCCTCGTCCGAACGCGGGGACAGTTCTTGCGTCACGTTCACAATAAAAGTAAATCCTAACGTTTACGTATCTGCACCACTCTCAGTCGGCACTTTAAAAACCTTGTGCACCGTACCAGCTTAAGACCTCATCTTCCCTTGGGAGGGTAAGTACCCTTGCTACTCTAGCTGCGTTTTTCTCTAATGCATTTGCGTTGGGAATTGACAAGGCAGGGCTTAACTCCCTCCACCAGCATCCCTATAAGAAAACTTAATATTTGATGAATTCCTGCTTAATAACTTTTTTCCTGTTTACAAATGTGACATTCTCCTCTCTTGATACCTCATTCTCCTTCCACAACGTGGAAACAGGTTATTCATCTTTGTATAACGCCTTAACATTCAGGCATTTTCATATAAGGGGAAAAACAAAAACAAAAACAGGGGCAGATATTCTGTCACCTACAAATCTCTGCCACCTTTTTCTCCACTTCCTGAAACTGCTTTAGCATAAAAACGAGCCAGAGCGTTGTGGTGTGGTGACCTAAAGTATCTCAAAGCCACAGCAGCCTATATTTAATTTAGTAATGTCATAATGTCATGTGGTTTCCAACACCAGTGACACATTTTACTATTTTTTGCTTGGGGATCCCATGTCTTAAAATACCTTTTATTATGCACATTGCATTTATTAATAACTTATTTTGCAATTTTTATGAAAACACCAACTACATCCCATCTCCCCTTTCCATATCTGAATTCAAAGCAAACGTTGCAGTGACAATTTTTGGGTCACCTTAACAAAACTACATTCTAACGTTTTCTGTCCTGTAGCATGGATAAAATCAAGAACCATCACAGCTGAAAGCAAAAAACCATGATTTGGGGTGTGTGTGTGTGTGTGTGTGTGTGTGCCTGTGTAGTCTTATCTTGAGGAAATGTATGTTTTTTTATTATTCATTTATTCACAATGTGCGTACATTGTTTGGGTCATTTCTCCTCCCTGTCCCCCTCCCCCAGAAATGTATGATTTTTATTAGGCTTTCGGAAATACTGTAACTCCTTATACTCAAAGGTCAAGTTGTTTTTCTTCCCATAGAGTTAGTGAATCAGCCTAGAACACACAGATCAAAGGTACAAGGGAGTAAGGTGTGGTGGCACACACCTATAATCTCATGCTTGAGAAGCTGAAGCAGAAAGATCCCAGCCTGGGCTATATAGCAAGACCTATCTCAAAGGCGGGAGGGGCAGGGGAGTAATGCAACTTTAATGGCAAAAAAAGCTTTGAACTCGGAAAATTGAAGAACAATATTTAGCAAGTCAGGAATGGGATGTGGTGTTCGCTTCAGCAGCACATATACTAAAATTAGAATGATAGAGAGATTAGCATGGCCCCTGTGCAAGGATGACACGCAAATTCATGAAGCGTTCCATAAAAATTAAAAAATAAATAAATAACAAGAATGGGCTGTGTAAGGGCATTTCATTTTTCTATGTCCCCCTGTAGTTTCCACCTTTCTGTGGACTGCTAAGTAGAGAAACTAGATTACAGAGATAAAAGTTATAGGAGACTTAAGTTTTCCTTTATCCCTCGCTTCAGTCATTCACCATGTGATTTTGCAAGCATCTCTGAGCCTTATACTCATCTTCAAAGCAAGAAAGTAGTGATACTAAGCACATAAGTTATACTATACTTTCTTAGGTTCTTTACAGTTCTAAAATTCTCTAAGCACAAGATATTTTCTACCCATACTAGCCCTCTCTCACTAGAAATAACTTCTAGGCCAGTGGCTTATGACACTAGATACTTGGGAGCTGAGAATGGGAGGATAGCTGTTCAAGACTAGCTGTGCAAATAGTTTGTGAAATTCATTTCCAAAATAACCAGAGCAACATGGACTGGATGTGTGGTTCAAGTGGTAGAGTGCCTGCTTTGCAACATCTGCTTATTTGTAGGAGCAAATTTCAGATTAACTTCCTAATTTCATGTAAGAAATTAAGGTATTTAGATTTTGTAAAAACCTATTTTATGTAAGAAAATTAATGTATTTAGAGTTTGGAAGTTTTTGTACTTTGGGTATTTCTAGGACAGATAACAAAAATTCCAAATATGTAAAATCCTCCAACCACCAAAATAATAAAGATTCTCTGTTTTCCTGGTCTTCTCTCAGAACTGAAGCTCTGTCCCAAGTTTCCTTAACTCTACAGGACATGCTTCAATATTTCATTAGGCAATCCTTGCTGAGTGTTTTTTTAAATTCATATGTGCATACAATGTTTGGGTCATTTCTCCCCCCTTCCCCCACCCTCTCCTTTACCTCCCACCTCTTCCCCCCCCTCACTACCCAGCAAAAACTGTTTTGCCTTTATCTCTGATTTTGTTGAAGAGAGAGTATAAACAATAATAGGAAGGAACAAGGGTTTTTGCTGGTTGAGATAAGGATAGCTATACAGGGAGTTGACTCGCACTGATTTCCTGTGCATGTGTATTACCTTCTAGGTTAATTCTTCTTGATTAAACCTTTTCTCTAGTTCCTGGTCCCCTTCTCTTATTGGCCTCAGTTGCTTTAAAGTATCTGCTTTAGTTTCTCTGCATTGAGGGCAACAAATGCTAGCTGATTTTTTAGGTGTCTTACCTATTCTCACCCCTCCCTTGTGTGCTCTCGCTTTTATCATGTGATCAAAGTCCAATCCCATTGTTGTGTTTGCCCTTGAGCTAAATATCCAATATGAGGGAGAACATTCGAGTTTTGGTCTTTTGGGCCAGGCTAACCTCACTCAGAATGATGTTCTCCAATTCCATCCATTTACCAGCGAATGATAACATTTCGTTTTTCTTCATGGCTGCATAAAATTCCATGTGTGTAGATACCACATTTTCTTGATCCATTTGTCAGTAGTGGGGCATCTTGGCTGTTTCCATAACTTGGCTATTGTGAATAGTGCTGCAATAAACATGGGTGTGCAGGTGCCTCTGGAGTAACCTTGTGACACCGTCTTTTGGGTATATCCCCAAGAGTGGTATTGCTGGATCAAATGATAGATCAATGTCTAGCTTTTTAAGTAGCCTCCAAATTTTTTTTCACAGTGGCTGTACTAGTTTGCATTCCCACCAGCAGTGTAAGAGTGTTCCTTTTTCCTCGAATCCTCACCAACACCTGTTGTTGCTGGTGTTGCTAATAATGGCTATTCTAACAGGGGTGAGGTGGAATTTTAGTGTGGTTTTTTTTTTTTCTTAGTGTGGTTTTAATTTGCATTTCCTTTATTGCTAGAGATGGTGAGCATTTTTTCATGTGTTTTTTGGCCATTTGAATTTCTTCTTTTGAGAAAGTTCTGTTTAGTTCACTTGCCCATTTCTTTATTGGTTCATTAGTTTTGGGAGAATTTAGTTTTTTAAGTTCCCTATATATTCTGGTTATCAGTCCTTTGTCTGACGTGTAGCTGGCAAATATTTTCTCCCACTCTGTGGGTGTTCTCTTCAATTTAGAGACTATTTCTTTTGTTGAGCAGAAGCTTTTTAGTTTTATGAAGTCCCATTTATCTATGCTATCTCTTAGTTGCTGTGCTGCTGGGGTTCCATTGAGAAAGTTCTTGCCTATACCTATTAGTTCCAGAGTATTTCCTACTCTTTCCTGTATCAACTTTAGAGTTTGTGGTCTGATATTAAGATCCTTGATCCATTTTGAGTTAATATTGGTATAGGGTGATATACATGGATCTAGTTTCAGTTTTTTGCAGACTGCTAACCAGTTTTCCCAGCAGTTTTTGTTGAAGAGGCTGTCTTTCTCCATCATACATTTTTAGCTCCTTTGTCAAAGACAAGTTGGTTATAGTTGTGTGGCTTCATATCTGGGTCCTCTATTCTGTTCCACTGGTCTTCATGTCTGTTTTTGTGCCAGTACCATGCTGTTTTTATTGTTATTGCTTTGTAATATAGTTTGAAGTCGGTATTGTGATACCTCAGCATTGTTCTTTGACTGAGTATTGCCTTGGCTATTCGTGGCCTCTTGTGTTTCCATATAAATTTAAGTAGATTTTTCAATCTCTTTAATGAATGTCATTGGAATTTTGATGGGAATTGCATTAAACATGTAGATTACTTTTGGGAGTATAGACATTTTTACTATGTTGATTCTACCAATCCATGAGCATGGGAGATCTCTCTACTTTCTATAGTCTTCCTCAATCTCTTTCTTCAGAAGTTTATAGTTTTCCTTGTAGAGGTTTTCACATCTTTGTTAGGTTTACACCTAGGTATTTGATTTTTTTGAGGCTATTGTAAATGGAATTGTTTTCATATATTCTTTTTCAGTTTGTCATTTTAGTGTATAGAAATGCTAATGATTTTCTATGTTGATTTTATATCCTGCTACCTTGCTATAGCTATTGATGTCTAGAGCTTTGAGTAGAGTTTTTTGGGTCTTTAAGGTATAGGATCATGTCGTCTGCAAATAGGGATATTTTGACAGTTTCTTTACCTATTTGTATTCCTTTATTCCTTCTTCTTGCCTAATTGCTCTGGCTAGGAATTCCAGTACTATGTTGAATAGGAGTGGAGATAGTGGGC